TGACCTGGGCTGAGGAATTCTACGGGGGCATCACATCCTACAGCGAGCTGCGGGACCCCCGCTGGGTCCAGCTCCTCCTGGGAGAAGGTGCGTGGGGCCGGGGGCTGGCACTGGGGGGCTGGGGTGGCCAGCGATGCTCTTCGTGCTCCCAAAGGGTGACAACCTGCTGGGGCGAAGCACAGTCAAGGGGGAGATGCTATGGGGACCAATGCCCCTGGCCATGAGCATCTCCACACATGTCGAGCCTGGTTTGGCTTTGGTGACCCCCACCTCCCCTGGCTCCACAGATGCCAGCAGCCCCCAGGGCTGCATCCTCCAGGAGCACTTTGATGCCAGGCTGCACCTCGAGGCTGAGGTGATCTTCTATGGAGTGAAGGGCTGCTCACGTGGGCACCCGAGCACCAGCGCCACCCACATCATCCACCTGCAGCCCGAGCCCAGGTACCACACAGTGCCAGTGGTGGGAGCCCAGGGTGGCGGGTGGGACATGCTTGGAAATGCTTGGGAAGGGGTTGGAGTGTCTAACAGGCAGACACCCCACCCCTCACCCCACCCCTCACCCCCCCTTCATCCCAAGGTGGGTACAGGACCCACTGGTATGGGATGCTGATGCGTGGCGGGGTCGGGGAATCTTGGGATTTCACAGCTCCACCATCACGGAGGTGAACGTGTCCCTGAACTGTCCTGAGAGTCCTGCAAGCAAACAGTTCCTCATCCTGCAGAGCCGGGCCAACCTCACCTGGTTCATCTCTGTCAGCAACTGCCACATCCAGTTCTTGGTAGGGTTGAGCGGGATGTGTGTGTGTCCCCCCATCCCCACCAAGGGGGCTGCCAGGTGCCCAAGAGATGTCAGTGGCATGGGGAGGGTGACAGGAGGGCCCCTGGGGACATTGGGCATGGGGAGGTGGCAGCCCCCTTGCTGCAAGCCCTCCTTAATGGGGACGAACCCAGAAGCTGTCCTTGCCATGAGCATCCCCAGCTGTCCCTGTCCCCGCTCAGTGCCCGCCCCCAACTGCCCCCCTCCCATAGGCCTCCGGGAACTACAAGTTCGCATCCGTGCCCTGGGTGCTGATCGCTGGGGAGCGCCTGCCTGACACGGAGCAGGGCCTTGTCGCCAAAGCCTTCGAGAAGAACTGGAGCTTCATCGCCTCCTATTCCGCCATCCCCACCAGCGCCCGCATCAGCCTGGAGCTCCAGGAGCACCGTGAGGCCCCCGGCACCCCAGGGCTGGGCAGTATGGGAGGGAGGGTCCCACCACCCCTGCTCAGCCCACCCTGTCTCCCCGTCCCACAGATGCCACCACAAGGGCGCCTGTGACATCCATCCCCCTGGGCCCCACCGCTGACGTGCTGCCCCACAAGCTGCTGCACACGCTCCAGCCCTGGAAGTGCACGGATGAAACCATGGAGATCGTCATCGCCAGGTCCCACCTGGAGGTGAGGGGGGTGGAGGGGGTCCCAACACCTGCCAACATCACCTGGGGGGTGTGTGTGTGGTGTGTCACATCCTGGTCTGGGTGCTTGGGGTGGGTGGCATGGGGTTGTCCCCAGCCGGTGGGTGACTGCCAGGTGCTTTTCTCCCAGCCCATCAAGGACGTGGTGAACATCACCCTGCGGGACATCAGCTGCCAGGCAGAGAAAAACGCCACTCACTTCATGCTGAAAACCCCCCTCAGCCACTGCGGCACCTCGCTGGAGGGCCGGGGCCATGCCAACAATGAGGTGAGGTGGGGGGGCTGGCCAGGGCGCTGCTCCCAGCCCTGCTGAGGCCCCATGGGGGCTTCAGTGATGCCCAGTGGGGCTTCTCCACCGGGACCTCCTTGCTTCTGCATGGCTGGAAACATCCTGTTGCCCAGCAGGGCTGAGCCTTGCCACTGTGCCCAGGTGCTGGCAGAAATGGGAGTGTGTGGGTGGGACTCCTATCCCATCCCATGATAGAACACCACCCCACCCCCAGTCCCATCCCATCCCCATGGGGACAATAGACCTCAGCAGTGGGGACCACTTGGCTGACTCAAGCTTCCCCACCTTGTTGCAGCTCATCCTCAGCCTGGCCAAGGGCGCAGTGCTCCAGAGCGTGCGGGTAAGAGCCGGATTCCCTGTGGGCTTGGGGTTGGGACCATGGGAGAAGGGTGCCAGTGCCACTGCCTGCTGGGTGCTGG